CGAGTAGATGCTGCTATATATAATAAAGGCATCTGTCCATTTTTCAATGCAATCAATTTTAACAGATGGTTTGGTAGTTTCCCTTGTAACAAGTTCCCCCCTTTCATTAATATAGATAGACTTTTCTGAGGGAACAGCATTAGTATTGTGAAGCAGCAAAGCAAGATCTACATAAGCTGAACTTTTTATTTTTGATTTGATATTTTGTGACACATTCGCTGCCAACTGATGAGTAATACTTGGCATTATTACAGGTGTACCTTGTGAATCACCCATGGCGTTCTGATCAGACTGTGAGGTACAGGGGGGTGAAGTCACTGACTGTACACAGGCAACTGTCTCGCTAACTTTATTGCTTTGCTCGATGACTGGAACCACAGGTTCTTTTTCAATCTCTGCTGGCGCGTCATTAGGTCCTTTACTGGCTTTAGATCTTGTCCTGGTTGCTTGCCTTCGCAATGGCGTGTCCTTCGCCCTCTTCGCTTTGACTCGTGGCATTGTGATATTACAAACAAAATAACAATAGCAAATATTACAATTTAAAATAACACAAAAATTTTCGTTTATTTTTTTCAAGTATGAAAGCCTTCAAGTATGAAAGCCGCTTTTATTCGAATTTTCTTACAGATTTCAATCCCACGAAAATCAAGTCTTAAATACAGCTTAACTTAACCATCGATGCAAATAAATATTACCAATGTGTCTAAAATTATTGTTTAAACAATTATTTTGAAAAAAAAGAAATAGGACTGTGATTATTTTTTAAATTATTTGAGAGGTAAAAATGTCTACTACCTTTCTGTTTGAAGCGCATGTAAAAAAGGATGAGTATACCGAACCCGACTGTGTACGCCGATCTCGACCAAAATATTTCCTCATAAGATAAAGGCATCTATATTATATTTATATAGATGCTGATATTTCTTTGCATGAGCAGTCATGAAAAGTATATATCCTCCTCTCTTCTACAAGATCAATTGCTTCAAATTATGATTATAATTCACACAATAATATTGTCAAAGTAACTTACAATTTTAGCTCATCTGAACCGATGGTTAAAGTGAGCTTTTCTGATCACATTTTGTCCGGTGCCCGTCTGTCTGTCCGTCTGTCTGTAAACTGTTCAGATTTTCGTTTTCTTCTCAAGAACCACTGAGACAATTTCAAACTTACTTGCCACAAAGATCTTTCCCTACAGGGGTTCAAGTTTGTTTTAATGAATGATTTCTCTTTCTTTCAAGGGGAGAAGATTACGCATTACTAAAAAAATTATGAGATCATTTAAAAGTTTTCTTTTCGAGAAACACCGGGCTAGAAAATATGAAACAAAATGTGGATGCATCGCATCCTCAGATTCCAGTTTATTCAAATCATGACCATCGGCGGTAGGGTGGGCCATAACGGAGGATCACTGCAATACCAAAGAATAAAATTTCAAGAATAGCTAAGTCATGACTAGTCATATAAATCTAGAAGCATCATTATGAACAGCAAAGCCAGGATTAGTCATATTAAAGAAGCATCGGCAGGTAGTATTGATACCAATGTATTCAATCATGTCCCGGGGATAGGACAAGGCCACAACAGACGACCAGAAGTGAAGGCAAAAAAACTTAAGTCATTTATAATGATTATACATCGTAATTCAAAGGAAGACGAAACCATCATCAGATAGTTTAAATTTAAGTTTTCTTCATAAAAATCCCTACAAAGATACATAGCGGGTCAAGTAAACGTTCAACCAAGCCTCTTTATTTGCTCCATATTAAGATATTAACAGTAGAGAAGAAGAAACTTCAAGAGTACTGTGCAACAATATTAATATTTTCGAGAAGTGATGTAAATCAGATGTGGATGCTCAAAAATTCCAAGGATCTATTGGACAATTTGAAATCACAAGATTTTACCAAAATCAACAGCTTAAAATTCTAGGACTTTTCAATTTCATACATAACCATTTTCTACGATAAATTACAGTCCCGGCTTTTTGATATCATTGACAGCTGCTTTTCGATACAAATGGAACTCGTAATTTTACTTACCTTGTCATTGGTCATTTGCAAAATTATTTTGTTAAAAACATACTAATTTACACAGAAGTACTCTGAAGTTGACTTCAATAAGATGCTTGAGTTTCTGATTGACAACATCAATGTGGTTTTTGGAGACCAAGTTTTCCAACAATCTATTGGAGTTCCCATGGGTACCAATTGCGCTCCATTATTAGCAGACCTATTTTTGTATTCATACGAAGCAGAATAAGTCCAGAATCTTCTACGTGAAAAGAAGAAAACACTTGCTGAGACATTCAACTCGACATTTCGATATATCGACGACGTATTATCAATTAACAATTATAGTTATTTCCATTCTTATCGACACGATATATCCCGGTGAGCTTGAAATAAAAGATACCGTAGAGACATCTGTTTCATATATTTCGATATTTTATTAGAAAAAGACGTTTATGATAAACTGATAATAAAACTCTATGATAAATATATGATAACTTCAACTTTTCTATCGTCAACTTCCCTTACTTATGCAACAGTTACCAGGTAATATACCATCATCACCTGCATTCGGAGTTTATGTCTCCCAGTTGATTCGATACGGAAGAGCATGTTCTACGTATGAACAATTTCTAAAACGAGGTAAATTATTTACAAACAAGTTGAAACAAGAATTTCAGCAGACCCGTTTAATGTCATCATTTCGTAAGATCTATGGTCAATATAATGACCTTGTCAGCAAATACAATTTATCATTGAGTCAAATGCTGACAGACGTTTTTCATACTAATTATTTCATGTATTTTATTAATTATACACTGTATTAACGACTGATTTTTTCTTTATTTCCAGACCATGACAACAAGTACAGTATTCCATGCTCCTCTGATGTTTTGAGGATCCATGTTTGCTCCGCTCCTATTTTGTAATGTTTAATGGACTTTTGAGTTTGAATGCCTTCGTTATCTCCACATTTTTCACTTCAAGTCATGCCCCTATTTTTATTTTGACTTTATTTTTCAATACAAACTTATTTCTTTTTTTTATCTTGCCAAAGTGTTCAGGTGAGCCAATGTGGTCAATGCGTCTATTGTTCTCGATCACCTGAAGCAGATGCAAAACAAACTTGATATTTAATTATTCATATGATCGAGTGGAAAAGATGCATTTTTGAATTAAGAATCTTGTCTATTTCTTACTAAAGCTCTTTAAATTCTCTATAGACACTGTTTTTAAGAAAATCACAACTCGGAAATATGTTTTATATGCAAGAGGAGACAGTGCTCGTGATTTAACAATGCACCGAAGAGGACACATCTATGTATTAATTTAATATTCCTTATTTCCAGCAATTAATCAGACTATTTCCTTGTAGGATCATTCTAGGATATTGCCATTTTATGATCAATCGTTATCTACTGCTGTGGAAAATATTGAACCGTTATGTGACTCATCATCGACTGCTTTTTGCGAAAAATTACGTTACTAAACATTAATTTTTTAAGACTAGACAATACACCCTAATTGTGTTCATGACTTACGTAAGTTAGTTTATCAAACAATGGAGTACTGCACTCAAAGATAATTACTTACGTGAAAATGTGGACTTTGATGTAACATTTTATTTTGGCAAAATGGACAAAGCCATCGATTTTCACAAATTAGGAATTGTCCAGCCGTCTTACATTACTTGTTTAAAATCATAATAAGTTGACAATATGTCCATAAACGTGCAAGACACAAAACATTCATAAAGCACACCATTATTGCAAACTGAATGCATATTCATTAAGAAAAATTAATCTATATTCATTAAACTACAATCAACGAGCCAAAACCTTTACAAACAATTTTAAAGTTAATTTATTTTTTATTAATAGAGTCTGTCTGGTCTCTATTTCAGCGTTACGAAAAGTCGCGGAACCTTAGGATGATTAATGAACTCTGTACTCTAGTTCTTTTATTTTAGAATGATTAAAAGCTTAATTCGTTGCAGATTGGGTAGAATAGAATATTTCAAAAAGAGGTAGCCGTCTTCTCCCCCTTTTCAAGATCCTTGAATTTAATTAACCCCGATGATATGATGTGACAAATTTTCCCCAGACGAAACGACTTTGTTTCTGAACTATGTAATGTGACAGGAAATATATCTACGTGTAAAAACAAAATGACAGTTTGATATTGACTGCAGAACTTTTATTTTCCCCTCACGAAATTCTTCAATCAGATGGCGTGCCCTAGACTTCTGTCATTAGCCATTTGATCTGTTTGTTGATTATATCTGAACTGCGGAAGAATCGAAAGTGAACGGTGATGTTAGTCGAGAAGATTTTTTTTTAAGAATTCTTCTTTGATTCAAACAGTATTTGCTTCGCCCACACCTTTAGTAATTAAATTATGAACACAATTAAATAAAACTTGTGCAATTTAATAGAACAGTACTGCATGTATTTGTATCAACAAGTAAAATATGTATACTATGAGGTTTACTTACGTGAGAAAAATTTCCTGTCTTTGCAAAATGTATCAATAATATTGAACTATTGTCTCGGTAATAATTTTCAAGTAAAAAAAAAAGTCCCCAAAAATGATAAACCCTTGGATATTCACTTTATATAAAATTTTAGCATAAAATAAAATTAAATAAAATGCATCAACCATCTTTGTTCTATTTAAATGTTTAGGGCAATTGTATATGTACAAATATATAATTATGTATTTGTTTATCTTGTTTATTTATGTATGTGCATTCATTCATTTATGCAATTGATTCCAATGAAAAGGGATTTTAAGTTAGATTTGTGTGCAGAAGGCTTTAGTTTTCAAGAGTAAGCAATTTATCATTTCCTTAAAAATTATAATCTTATTATTTAAATTTAATTCACTGAAAAATAAAAATGTTTTGGATTTTTTGTACAGTTTTAATGACTTGTTTTTATCCCGTGCGGAACCTCTAAGCTGCTTATTGCTTTTTGGCGAGTTACTTCCCTTGTATCACCAGGTAAATCGATACTAATCTTGTACAGGTGTCAACATCCATCCGAAAAAAAGGGAAAAACCAACGCAACAGATAAGCCTGTTTGTCATGTAGTAAGTACATTTATATATCTTCAAAGACATATTAAACGTTTATCAATGTTTCTATATATTTGTACGTATGTATTTGTTTTCTTGTTACGATTTCACAATGTATAATGGAGGACAGCTCTCGTGTTACAAGGACGTGTCATTTTATATAGTACCACCTTGTATCTTCGTGACAATAGCATGAGTAAGATTTAAATTATGCAATGCCAAAAAATCCATTAAATGAAGACTGTTAATTTTACCGATTTAGTTAATTAAATCACATGCCAGTATATATGCGGTTTCGATATTGTGAAAAGTCCACGTACTATCTATATAGATGCCCAGAAGCAATCACATACATTTGTATTGGTATAGTGTAAGGGAGACACTGATCTTTATCTCGAATAGCTTTGGGTCGTCAATTAGTAAAACAAGTTTTCATACGCAGTGTACCTATTTAAAAAAAATGTTGCACTCTTACCCTTTACAAACTATTGAAATTAAAATATATATTATATGATACATTATAAATGTGTTGTTGTACTTCCGTAAATGATTTATTCCTATGTATGGCGGACAAGTAATGACAAAAATTAATGGACTATCATTAGAAACAGCCGAGACATATAACATAACCATTGCTGCTTTCCTGGTTAATACGATGATTTGGCAATCTGAGTAGCATGAATATTCATCGAACCCGAAGATGCCTCATCATTGGATTGGCTAAAAAGTCACAAATTGTTTTATAATTTGATTCAATGATCTAAATGATATAAAGACGTTAAGCAATCCATGTCATCTAATTCTTTCGTGTTTACATTTGCCGAGGTAAATATCCAAATGCAATGTTTGACGTCCTGTCGAGTTTTCACTCAAACTTGCCGGTGGATTGGCTGTAAATTTAGCACGTAGGACTTCTGAGTATATATGAGGGATCTTGTCTTAATGGTCTTTTTCGTGCTATTACCTACCTCGACAGTGACCTTAGTTTATACGTTTTCATCCGAAGGACCGGTAATAAGATAATTATAGGGTTAAAATCCATGTATACATCATTCATGTATTCCAAATTCTATTTAAAGAGTTGTTTAGGTCCATTAATCAGCCGGGGGGCTTTCCATGAGCATTTTTTTCCCATTATACTGAATTAAAAGTAATAAATTTTCGTTTAGAAAAAAGTGGAAGAGGGAAGGCAGGCCTATTTAACCTAGGCCTCAATCTCATACCTAACCACAGATTTTATGTGCCTAAAAGTTACGTTTACCTGAGTGAAAGTCGGTTCAAGTGAAATAACAACAAAATATCTGTATCAAATTTGGGAATTTTCCGATCTATTTTAATACAGCGTGGTACATTTTTTAATTAAATCCTCATGTTCAAATTGAAAGTAACGCGCAGGTAAAAACAAGGTAGTAACATATTTTTTTCCTACAAAGTTGGATCTCAGTCAATCAAAGAGATGGGAGTTAATTAAATAAGGTACATAATAAATTTCAAAATTGTTCATATTGTGCGTTATACTTTCGATTTCCTTCCTTTTTTTAGAGAAAAATATGAAAATGATGTTTGCTGTAATTTTTCTGGCGGGAATTATCGCGCCGGAAATTGTCTTGTCTGCTGCTGATGACTGTCCTCTAAACTGCACGTGCAAACACAACCTCGTGAAGTGCCATGGCTACAATTCAGTCCCACAGCAATTTACAAATCCTTCGTACATCGAAATCTTGGATTTATCTCATAACAACCTAACCTCCTTAACTAAAAAAGATTTCGAAAAATTTATAAACGTACATACATTGTATCTGAACGAGAACAAAATATCAGACATCGAAAATGGAACTTTTTCATCTCTGATTCACTTATCAGTGTTGAACCTTTCCTGCAACAGCTTAAGAACAATAGACAAAGGCGTATTTTGCAATCTCAAAAATTTATTGATGCTGTACTTGAAAAGAAATTTTATCGAGAAGCTGTCATTGGACGTATTCCACAACGTTCCAAAATTACAATATATTAGCTTTGCCGAAAATTTACTCTATGGTTTTGAGGAATGCACATTTCCGATTCCGAGTTTACAAGTTCTTGTTCTAGATGACAACACTCTGTCATCCATTCCATCACATATCTTCAACTGCACTCCAAATCTCCATGCTATCAGATTGAATCTCAACAGAATAACACTGATATCGGACTATGCTTTCTCTAACCTTCCCAACATTTCAAGCGTTAGTTTAGACAATAACCGGATAACTCATCTGGAACTCTTTTCTTTTGAAGTCAGACATCCAAATCCTAATACGTTAATGGAGTGTCAAATACGTTGGTTCTCCATAGTTGGAAACCTACTCATTGAAATGCCACAGGCTTTGGATGATCTTGTATACGTTGAGCATTTAGATATAAGTGCCAACAACATCAAGCAAATTAAAACGCAGAGTTTTTATCGACTCAATCGACTTCGTTATCTTCGAATTTCTGAAATGCCGCTTTTGAAATCGGTTGCGCCAAATGCATTTGGTGGTCTTGATCTCAGAGACGTTCATATGACAAGAAATCCCATTCTGAAAAAACTTCCCGAAAATTTGCTGCAGAATATGGATAACTTGAGAACAGTTATCATCAGTAATAATGCTCTTCAGTCCGTTCCCAGAAGTTTGTGCAAGTGGCATATGTTAATGGATATGATGATGAATGACAATGAATTCATCTGTGGTTGTGGCGTTCAGTGGCTTCAGACATATCGTGGATGGGGTACCCCGCAAACTAACCAACACGTAAAGTCTCTAAGATGCCATCAACCGGGAAACTCCGCAAATTTTCTCATCAAAGATTATGACTTCGACCATCTTGCATGTTCATACATGGACACACCAGTAATACAAAAGTCACATGTTCTTGTAGGACTTATAGCCGCTACTTTGGTACTGTTGGCTGTATGCATGATTGTATTTATAGTCTGCTACTGGAAGAAAATCTACCGGTTCATAGAATGCAATCGACACACAGACTCTACGACCACAGTTGGGAGTAACTACATGTACAGTGATCTCTCTACAAAAGGCGAAATCAATGGGGATGCTTATATAACAAGAGACAAAGATAAACTTTTGACAATATAATATAGCCATTTTTTTTCCAAAAATGTTTCCACGAATATACAGCTGATTCGTTTGAAAACCATATTTACACACTTCGATAATCTATTGAAATATTAATGGATCATTCCATTTCATTTTGGTGTGTATACATGAATTATAACTGTGATAAAAATTGTTTAGAATTTTGATTTGTGTTTTGAAATATCTGTTCATAAGAATGTTGCTGTCCATATGATTTTAATTTTAATAACCTTATGAAAATTTGCAAGTAAGATGTTGATTAAATTATACATCACTTAATCGTATTGTTTGATTGTTTCTTAACGAAAAGAATACGTTCATTTTCACACAAATTTTTATTTCATTTTGCATTACTAGTAAATTTTTTTGTGTCTTTCAACCAGACTGTATGCATATTAATGTGGATGGATACCATTTATAAGACATTGTTAATACGGAGGTTAGTCCCAAATGAAGCAAAAACAACTTCGATAATATGTTTTTGTAACTATAGAAAAGATATTTTGGTTTTGCTTTCAGGTTGAAAGATTACAATTCTTTGTAAATAGCTTTAATTAACCTCTTTCTAAATGCAAGTTTATATCTAAATTGAAATTGAAAAGCAATTTTCAATTGCCCTAGTGTTAGTTTTATTTTCCATTAATTTTGAACATGCATTCATTCAAAATGTGTCAACTTATATCAGTATAATGTTCTATTAGTTTGTTGTTCTTATTCAGATTATGCAATGAAAGGAATTTTAACCAGGTCAAGGCGCACATACAAGGAATAATAATATATTTTTGTGTGGTTAATGGCAATGCATTGTCCATTCTAATGTCCAAAATATGCTCTAATATTATGACAAATTTACAGTTTTCTTATTTTAGTCCTTATTTAGCCTTAATTGTTTGAAATCCTAAATTTTTATCAACGAGTGCTGGACAGTTTGACAGGTTTTTTTTTCTTCTTAATATTTTATGTAATATATTTGTACAATTCCATATACTATATATTTCTAAAAGTATAGCGTCAATGTAACCTTGGTTATATACTTTTCATGACATGTCCTTATACACATTTTTATTTCAGAGTGTACAACCAGTGCTATTTAGATTCTTTTACATAAACAAACAGATTTTGAGATACTCATGAAAATGAAATGTATTAACGCATCAAATGGGTATAGACTTTATTAATAAGTTTGGAAACATTTTTCAAAAATTAGGAACTACGTGCCCACGGAACATTCCAACTACATGAAATCTTCAGGTTGGATTTGTCAATGTCTGGGATCTTGCAATAAAAATGTAACTATTAATCTTGATACGAATGATATTGAACGAAATATTGGTATATTTTCTGTCTATAAACCTTGCTATGCAACATGTATCCTGTAAAATTGAGAACTTACCAAGATTCATCTCATCTATTTTGAGATTAATAAACTTTGTTTTGGCCTATTTGTTGTCTTTCTCTCCAAACATTGATTATTGAAGAAACCTACACAACTATGAGCAATCCAGATTGGTCATGGAAGGGGTTAACTTTGAAAGAAAATCTTATAAAAAACATTAAGAGCAATTATTGGTCTTTCAGTGCTTTAACCATATTTTATGTCTTAAATTTATGTCTTAAATTGATTGATTGATTGATTGCATGTTGTTGTATATTCTCTCGAGAATTCTTCGCTCATATGGAGATGCCACCACTTGCCGGCGGAGAGCTGCAAATTTTGTCCTATACTCGGCACTTAGGGTCATTGAGCAGGGAGGGATCTTTATCAAGCCAGCACTTACTGCGCTACGGGACCTCAGTTTATATTGTCTCATCCGAAGGACCGGTCTCCACGTCCCACAATGGGATTCAAACCTGCGACGTAAGGATCAACTCTTTACTTCGCGACTCTAGAGCAGAAGGTGGCGAATCATTGGATTAACTGAAAAACAGCAATATATTGTTTTATTATTTGATTAAATGATATGTAGTCGATAAACAATTCATGTCAACTCACGTATTTACGTTTACCGAGGTCCTATCCATGTTTGACGTCCTGTCAATAATCTTTTTTGGTCGGTGGAGGGTTGTAAATTTAGGACTTAGAAGAACTTTTGAGTGAGGGGTCTTGATTTGTTTGTGCCTTCATCTACTTTGACACAGAACCTCCGTTTATATGGTTTCATCCGCAGGACCTGTAATCCGAGAAGCGGTACTGAATCATTTGTTTTCATTTTTAAAGTTTTTAAATTGGTTTTTATAGGTGTGGTGCAGAAAAATGTCTGACAAGGAAATAGTGCTATATTGCCTGAAAATGTATCAAGGTAGCCCCCCTCCCCTCCACCAAATTAAAATTCTTTATATTGAAAATTTTTATATCAAGGGGTGTTAAGGATCCATTAAATTGGAATGAACAGGGGATTTTTCCTGGACAATTTTGAAAAATATTCATTCTTAAAAGTTATAAATTTCCTTTTAAAAAGAAGTAGTGGGGGACGGACCAAATAAACCCCGACCCAAAACCCATCCAGTTTTTATGTGTCTAAACGTTTTTACCTAAGGGGAAGTCGTAATTTTTACAAAATATCTATATCAATTTGGGAATTTCCCGATCTATTTTATTTTTTTACTCCAATGTGGTTAGGCAAATCCTCATCTTCACCTGGAAAAACATATCTGAAGGAAACTGGTGTATATATTTACTTTGAGAGTTTGTCTGTTTGTACTTGTAGCTGTCTTTGTCTATCTGTCGGTAACAAATTTTTCGTCACAATTCTTTCAGCAACTACTCATTACAGATGCTTGAAAATTTTGCACATTCGTTGTTGAGGCAATCAATACCGTATATCAGGATTTTTCCGCGTGTATCCAATTTCCGCTTTGTTCGCGACGAGTTCTGAATCGCGGAAAATAAAACAGCGTAAATTTAATACAAAGTTTTCTTCTTGTAGTATGATTATTTCTTGATGCTTATATCGTAGAGGGTAGAAATAGCGGGATCAGGGGACAAGCGCAGGATACCGGTAATAGGCCTAGGTAAAAGCCCGTATTGTTTGTTTACTAATTGACAAGCCAGTTAATTACATGGGTCTCGTTTCTTGCTATTAAAACTAATTAAACCTGAGCTACTTGTCAGTTCGGAACAGTAAATGAACACTATATCTTAAAAAATAATATCTGTGCACAGTGGATTTGAGAGTTAATACGCAGCACAGGTGTGTAATCAGCCGAGAGGGTCTTCCGGAATTGACGAGGTGAAGGTCGACAATAGTCGATAGATCTATTTCTCACCCGTATGAAGCTTAATGACTTTACATTTTACATCCAATTTCTTCATAGGCTTAAACAATTGTTAATAATAAAATCACTGGGACTTTGAAAATGAAAATTTGATTGTAAAAATATACTGATTTAGGTTCTGATTCGCGGAAAAAACATGACGCGGAAAAAGCCTGATATACGGTATGTCTGGTTTCATTTTTTGTATCAATCCGATATCAACTTTTTTTGCATCTGTCCATACCCAATAAACAATCTTTCATAACAGTTTTATCAGCAACTTCATTGCATTGCAAATGTTTGAAATTTAAGCATACTCGCTATTGAGTATATACGCTATAATACTTTCGATTTTTTTTTATTTTTAGAGGACAAAAATCAAAATGATGTTTCCTGTCATTCTTTTGGTGGGAATTATCGCGCCGGAAATCGCCTTGTCTTCTGGTGAGGACTGCCCTGTAAACTGCACTTGCAAAGACAACCTCGTGAAGTGCCATGGCTACAATTCAGTCCCGCAGCAATTTGAAAATTCTTCGTTCATCGAAATCTTGGATTTATCTCATAACAACCTAACCTCCTTAACTAAAAAAGATTTCGAAAAGTTTATAAACGTACATACATTGTATCTAAACGAGAACAAAATATCAGACATCGAAAATGGAACTTTTTCATCTCTGATTCATTTATCAGTGTTGAACATTTCCTGCAACAGCTTAAGCACAATAGACAAAGGCGTATTTTGCAATCTCAAAAATTTATCGATGTTGTACATGAAAAGAAATTTGATCGATAGGCTATCGTTGGACGTATTCCACGATGTTCCAAAATTACGATATATTAGCTTGTCCGAAAATTTACTCTCTAGTTTTGACGAATGCACATTTCCGATTCCGAGTTTGCGCATTCTTGTCCTAGACAACAACAGTTTGTCATCCATTCCATCAAATATCTTCAATTGCACTCCAAATCTCCGTACCATCAGACTGAATCTCAACAAAATAACGCTGATATCGGATTACACTTTTTCTAACCTGCCAAACATTACAAGCCTCAGTTTAGACTACAACCGGATAACTCATCTGGAACTTTATTCTTTTGAAGTCAGACATCAAAATCCTAATACCTTGATGGAGTGCAAAATACACTGGTTCTCTATTGTTGGAAACCTACTCACTGAAGTGCCACAGGCCTTGGATGATCTTGTTTACGTAGACCATTTAGACATAAGCGGCAACAACATCAAAGAAATTAAAACGGAAGTTTTTTATCGGCTCAATCGACTTCGTTATCTTCGAATTTCTGAAATGCCGCTTTTGAACTCTGTTGCGCCAAATGCATTTGATGGTCTTGATCTCAGAGACCTTCATATGACAAGAAATCCAAAGCTGAAAAAGCTTCCTGAGAATCTGCTGCAGAATATGGATAACTTGAGAACAGTTATCATCAGTAATAATGCTCTTCAGTCCGTTCCCAAAAGCTTGTGCAAGTGGCATATGTTAATGGATATGATGATGGATGACAATGACTTTATTTGTGGTTGTGGTGTTCAGTGGCTTCAGACATATCGTGGATGGGGTACTCCGCAAACTAAACAACATGTGAAGTCTCTAAAATGCCACAGACCTGGAGACTCAAAAAATATTCTCATCAAAGATTTTGACTTCGACCATCTTGCATGTACATACACATCAGTAGTGCAGAAATCACGTGTTCTTGTAGGACTTATGGCCGCTACAGTGGTACTGCTGAGTGTATGCGTGATTTTGTTTATAGTTCGATACCGGAAGCGAATAATCTTCCGGTACAGACAGTTCAAATACAGGCGTCACACGGACTCTGCTTACACAATTGAAAATAAATACATGTACAGTGATCTCTCTACGAATGGTGATATCCATGCAGAAGTTCATACAACAAAAGACAAAGATAATCTTCTAACATAATATCATAGTCATTTTTTCAGGAACTTTTCTATGAATGCAGCTGATTCATTTGAATATCATTAATACACAATTGGATTATCCATTCAAACAGTGAAGCATTCCATTTTACTTTGTTTATGCATGCACTAGTTAAACTGTGATAAAAAAATTGGTTTTGAATTTTGAAAGAACTTAAAGTAAAAAATATTGCTACTCATCTGAAGAAAATTTTAATTATCTTAAGTAAATAAGTAATTTTAGTTTATATTTCATGTCAGTATTGTTTTTGTCTTCTCTATATTATTCTTATTTTACAGTACCGTAAAATTCAGTTTTGGTTGCTTCACACAATTTATTGCACTAAATTTTCAATTTAATTTATGAATGGAACAATACAAGTTTTCTTGTCTTGCTGTTTTAAATATATTTACATATTCTTTTTTGTGGCACTAAGACTTTTATTCATATGTCCCTTTTAATCCTTATGCTAAATTTTAACGATGAAATGCTTTATACAGGCATTTTTGTTTCTTTGCGAATATAATGCGTTCATTTTGATACAAATGTTAATTTCATTTTGTATTACATGTATATTCTTTTTATTCCTTTTAATCAGACTGTATTAATATTCATTTGGGTGGAAACCATTTATAAGACATTGTCAATACGAAGGTTATCTAGGTTTCAAATGAAGCAAGAACATGTTTACTTACTTGATATGTTTTAGCAACTATGGAAAAAAAAATGATTTTGATTTCAAGTTGAAAGACGACAATCCTTTGCAAAAGTAGTGAATCTCTGCGTACATGGAAGTTTAAATATAATTGAAACTAAAATGCAATTTTCAGTTCCCCGGATTTCATATTTATTCTGTATTAAAAATTAAAAATGTATTCATTCAAAATATTTCATAACGTAATTTAAGAGGTTTTTTTTCAAAATGTATTGTAAGGCATTTTTACCAGGTTAAGGCGCACTCCCTGTGCTTATCATGTACATTTTTTGTGTTTTTAATCGTCAAAATTGCAAAGGATTGTCCATTTAAATGTTAAACATGTTCCACTTGATTTCCTTTTTATTTTCTTATTTTATCCCTAAATTAACGCCAAATTTTCTTCATTTTGTCCATAAAATTCATATCAAATTTTTATCAAAGAGTGATGGAAAGTCTTCATTTTTTTCTTAACATAATGTTATACGTTTGGACAATGCTATATTTTTAAAATTATATCTTCTATGTATATATTTTGCATTAGATTTTCCATTGCAAATCCATACACGCATTTTAATTACACAGTGTATTTCGTATATTATTTAAATCTTATTTTGTTTTTTTTTTACAAGAAAGATTCTGATGTATTCGGAAGAAAGGTAATGTATTGTTTGTAGGGTAAAAGCATCAAAATATGAAGTTTATAAATAAGTTTAAAAGTTTATAAAATAAGGAGCTAAGTATTCATAAAACTTTCCAGCTACATGAAATCTTCAGGCTGGATCTGTCAATGGATATTGTAAGCCATTAGGTATTTATGGGATTAATAGAAAGAGATATCTTAGGTACACTAGTACATGTATTTAAAATTGCATTGATACTAAAATACAGAAAATTCACTTAAATCTAAAAACTAAAACCTTGATATGGATGAAACTATTTGCATTTGTGAACTATTCATTCATTTAATTTCTTTCTGATAACTTTATCATGCCATCTCTTAAATGAGAACTTTCTGAGATTGTTATTTGACGAATTGCTTTTTTGAGATTAATAAATTTAGTTTTTACCTTCTCTTTGTCTTTTCTTTCCCGACATCGATTATAGATAGATAAATTTTCAGTATTTAACCTAAATCCATTAAAAAGTTACAAATCAGTTGGCCGCCAAATATTGGATTCTTAAAACATCAGAGGTTGGACCAGGTGCCTTGGGATCTCCTGCCGACTGGTCACACCCGCCGTGTGATTTTTATAATAATCGTGAAATTACAGAAATATTTGTTGGAAAAGTGTGTAAATAATTTTTATAAATAAGTATGTTCCAAAAATTTATATAGGATACAGAAAAATAATGCTAAATTTTAAAATGACAATATAAAATATAAGACCATAGAACTAACGATATGACGATTGCAAACAAGACTGTGAACCCTCTTGTTTCAACAACCTGTTTGTCAATAACCTACCTCGTGTTAGGAATTGTTCGTACGTAGAGCGTGCTTTTGCTTATCGAATCCACTTCGAGACATAAACCCTGTATCCTGGAAATAAGGGTACATTTTTAATAAGGGAAGTTGACGATATAAATGTGAAAGTCATCACGTTTATCATTAAGATTTGTTGTTAGATTACCATTAACGTCTTTTACTAGTAAAACATCTAATAATTAAACAGATTTGTCAGACTCTCTTTTATTTCTAGCTCACCAGGATATATCGTGCCGACATCAGAACGAAAATAACCATTGCTGATTGACAAAACGTGGTCGATATACATGTATCTAACTGTCGAGTTGACGGAGGTCACAGCAAGTGTTTCTTCTTTTCACGTATAGGATTTTGAACAATTTCTACTTCATATGAATACAAAAATAGGTTTGCTAATAACGGGGCACAATTGGTACACATGGGAATTCCGATAGATTGTTGGAAGACTGGTCTCCAAAAACCACATTGTTATTATTAATCAGAAACTCAGGCATCTTTTTTAAGTCAACTTTTTTTATGTACTTGTGTGTAATAATTGTGATTGTTATTTTTACAAAATAATTTTACAAATGACCTATGACAAGGCGAGTAAATTAACGACTTAAATTTTTATTGAAAAAGCGGCTATCAATGATATCAAAATCCTGGACTTTAATTTATTGTGGGGAATGGTTATGTATAAAATCAAAAAAGTTTTTAAGATGTTAATTTATGTATAATCTTGCGATTTTAAATTCTCCAAAAGTTCCTTGGAATTTTTAAGTATCTTCATCTGATTTAAACCTCGAATATACAATGTATTGTTGCACAGTACTCTTGAGGTTTCGCCTTCACTACTGGTAATATCTTAGTGAGGTGTAAAGAAAGAGGTTTGGTAGAACATTTACTGGAACCAGCTATTTATCTTTTAAGCATTTTTATAAAGTTTCATTAACTAACTTTACGTAACAAGTAATAACCTGTCAGATGTGAACTAATAGCAAGGTAGTTTACAATGAGCCTGACTCACAAAAGATATACATTTAAGGGGCAATATCCCTCTGCTAAGAGAGATAACTTTCTGAATACAATTTCCCATGAAATTGTCAGGTTTCATAGATTCCATTCACAGGGACCATCTTATAGTCAACTTAATCGAATCTGTTAGAACGTTCAGAATTGGATTTCTAGTTTCTATTGCCAACATTTTTATTAATTATTTATCAATAATAGTTTACCTAAAACATTTAAATATCTATAGACAATACAGTGTGTAAATGATGGCTTATAAATAAGTATAAGTCATTTAATTGAACAGAAATTTCAGATACGAGACTTGTTTATAAACATTTTATTAATATTTTATTTCACTAAAAATATTTTAAGATAATGGAAAGATAACGATATGACTGATTGCAATTTACAAGCAAGAAAACAGTTTGATATTCTGATTTAAAAAGCAACGCTTCAGTATGTTTTCTAATGAGAATTAGGTAGGTATGAGAGTAAAAATTATTTCTATATATACCTCACATTTCTAATTTTATAGTGAGATAAACAAGCAAATTCAAAGAATTGTATCCTGGAAATAAGGTACATTTTAATGTTATTTTTATGACATATTGTAAAATATGAACACCTTATCATATGTCATTTATTTAGAAATTATCATTGAAGTTGATTTTTTTTTTAGAAAATAAGGTCAATCGTGAAGGTCAATGTCAAGGGAAAGAAATCATAGCATGCTCGGATGTATCTTTTCAAAGGTAATGCACATGTCATATTTGAAAGCCCTATCTCTTCTCAATATAAGGAACAAGATGTGTTTGTGAAACTCTGATGACCCCGTATGGCAATATAACGAAGATTAAAATTTTCTTAAATGTTTTTCTCACAAGAAATACGATTGTAAAATACAAAATCTTTAGCACCACCTGTTCAAAAATTATAGTCGAGGTCAAAGCAAGTGTTTCAAACTTTTGAAAGGGTAGTTGTAGGATTTTGAAAAAATTCTTGTCATATTAATATGTGAAATAAAACCCTAACCCTAACCGTTCAAAAGTTATGGTACACAGTTAAAGGGTCAATTCCAAAGTCAAGGTCAAAGGGTTAAAGTTCTTGGTATCCGATGAAAGATCTTCTCACAAGGATTACATATTTTAAGTACGAAAGCCCTAGCCCTTACAGTTCAAAAGTTATGGTCAAAGTTAAAGTTTCTTCATTACTAAATTTTTTAGGTACTTGTGTGTAATAAAGGTCAAAGTTGTTTTTCCAATGAAAATTTGCCACAAAGAAAACATATGTGAAGTATGAAATTCCTAGTATCTACCCTTTTAAAGTTGTGACCGAGGTTGAAGTTTTTTAAAAGTAGTGAAAACTCCAAGGTCAAGGTCAAAAGGTCAAGGTCAAAAGATCAGAGTTATTCATATCCAATGAAAGGTCTTGCCACAAAGAATGCATATGTGAAATATGAAAGTCCTAGTACTTACCATTCAAAAGTTATGGCCAAAGTAAAAATTTGGAATTTTTGTGTAGAAATGGGTCAAACTGAGGTTAAGGTCAAAATATACAATGTATTCTTGTCACAAGAAATACCTGTGAAATATGAAAGTTAGCTCCACTGAATCAAAAGTTATGGGCAAGGTTAAAGTTTTTGTGAGGAGTAAAGACAGAACGGACAGACTTGGTGAGAAGATGTTCGCTTTTGCGAAACCAATAATTGTATATTTTTATCAAATTTTTTATCACGATTTGACATATTATTCATTTCTGAAAAAAGTAAGCAACAGTTCATACTTCAAACTATTTTCCATTTGAATATAATGCTATAGTTGTTGATGAAAATCAATGTTTGGAATAAAAAAAAAATCGTGAAATTTGGACAAAAGATATACATTTAAAAGTCCTAATTTCTTATATATAACCTCTGTAATTTGCTCGTTGCTTCTTGGGTGTCATAACGATAAAGGTTATCAGTGTTTAACCGATATATTGTTTATATATGGATAACGAGGTCGCCACTCATGATGTACATGTAACTATCTTACTTTTCCATACTCATTATGTGTAATATACTGTATATGCAGAAAAATACAATGTTGTTATGAAGGTTTACCAAGAATTTTAAACAAATCAACAATGTGATAAATTCAAATTATTTTTATAACATATTTATAACGACGTTGTATATTATCTTAAAATTTCAAAATTTTCGAAATACAATAAAATATTTATCATCTATAAAAATTGTACATATTATTATTACAGTAAAGAAAAGTTTACAAGAATATCTAGTAGTATAAAATTATATTTACTACAACCTATAAAATACGAAAGTCAATACACATATACATATATACCAATGAATTAAATTGCCAGCAAATTGACTGTGTCAAATGACATGATTGTACACGTATATGAATATCAATATTTCCTCACAACAAATTGGCCCCTAATTTTTCTTAATGATAATATGCACTTATCAGTCTGGTAAATATAATTCCTTGGTCAGTTGTTAAATTTTTCAGGTATATCATTAAATTCAACATATGAGAAAATAATTTTTTTTTCAGAAAAGTTAAACTTTAGTATAAATGTATCTTCAGAAAACAAAAAGTCATTCTGAGATTTTCAAAGAGATACCCGAGCATAAGAGTCTGCACAAAATGTAAAAAGTTTTCCTGAGAAAAAATATCACTTTTTGTCTAGAAATTCAATAATAAACGTCACATTCAATTTTCATTGTTAACCTGTCAACACAAAGTAAAATTTTGCTCAGATTTGGATCTCGTCACTTCCGTGTAGCTTCTTCATAACTTGGGGGAGCTCCTCCGCTTTCCTCGTACTTGGGAGGTGGCGTCACACTACCGTAGCCGGGCCCTGCCGCTGGAGCAGATGCTTGTTGCCTTTCTTCTTCCAAAACACTCGGAAGTGCATTGAAAGGTGCGTTGGAACGAGTAGAAGTTGGTGTGTTTGTCGATTTCTTTCGGTATTTTTTTACTATAAGCATTGTTCCTAATAATCCAAGGACTGTAGGGACTAGAAAAAATATCATAACGTATACCCATTTCCTCGAAATGCAAGCTACTTCGATTTCAGCATCTCCTTCCAAGTCGGAACTGGAAGTGACGTTTAGAACGATAGATGGATGGCTGTGTAGTGAGTGGAAATTTAGAGTACAAGTAGGAGAAGTCTCCGAATTAGCACATTCTTCCACATGATTCGAAACATCATACAAACGTTTGTCCAAAGTGAAATTGACCGCCAGGCCAGTTGGGAACGGCATAATATATCGATTTGCAAATATTAAGTAATACTCGTCATCTGCCTTAACTGTGTATTGATACACACGCGGTTTGTTAGAATAACAATAAAAAGTTTTACTAAAAACACTACACGAGTAAAAACATTCGTCTTTTTTAAACTTGCTGAAATCCTTTTCTCCTTTAATGATTACGAAGTCAAGGGAAGAATCCGGGCATGCGGAAATTTCAATCCTGGAGTTTGCCAGCAAGTAAAATCCCCAGTATTCATAACTATTGTATTTTATTTGAGTTTTCTTCTGAAAGGTAATATGCTGTAGCTTTCCTAGATAATTAGACGGTTCTCCGTCCATTAAATATGCATTAAACGTTGATTTGTGTGACGTAACGGTAACACCATCACAGAAAGTTTCCGAAAACGTCTTCGGAACTTTTCGCATATCAGTTACAGTAGCTTCAATCTTTTGTGTTTTGTTCACGTGGAAAACTGTTATCAACGAGGTTATCAAAATTATTGCTACGATCCATGTCCACAACGTGCAAATTCGGACTTGAAAAGATTGTCCACGACAGCATAAACACACACAAATCCATGAGCAGTCGCAATCGCCAGCTTCGCCACTTCTCCTTGAATGATAGTGATGGGTGTGGTAGGTAGTTGCGCTGAAAGAAAATCCACCACCACCACTGAATCCGCCTCCTCCACCACCACCACCAAAACTTCCGGTTCCATGTACCATTTTGATTTACATAGAAAATCTGAAGGCAAAAGTTGTAACTAGGTTTTAGAAAGGAAACACTTGTTTTCCTGGTTAATATAGTCTTGTTTACACCCTTTCTAATGAAAACACGGACCTCGTTAAAACTATCTGAGCAGTTTAGGCATGTAAATATTGAAAGAGAGGAAAAGGAAGTATTGTACAAACATGTATTTAACAATCATGGCGTGTTTAAATTTGAATACAGTACGCCTGATTAAGTATTTAAATGGCCATCGTCTAAAATATCTTCATTGTGTAATTAAAACATTTCTATACATTTGTTTAAATCAGGTCACCAAATAAGATCTGCAATTTACGAAACCATGAAGTGAATTTGTCCGTTGTCAACAACATGTATATGCTTTTATAAACACATTTACAGATTTTTTAGTAGATAATTTTCAATATAAACTATTATCCCTAGGAAGAAGAATAAAGCGTCTTACCTAATACTTAGGTATGGTATAGACACATCAATGTACTTGTTATATACTCATTAATGTTGCTGAACAGAGCGATAATGCGGTTTCGCAATACTTGATAGCAGTGTCACGTGCCTTTTTGTAATGTAAACATAAGATTGTGACTCGTGGCTTCACGATTAAATTTTCCGTTGTCGTATCCTAGTATATATTTAAAGCAAGTGCTGACCCATAAAGTCAATTAATACTATTAAGTTTAAGGATTTAAATCATGTGCCAACAATCAATAACCCATGTAAAACTGATATGCACCTAGTACATCCCCATTAGTAAAAGAAAAATTTTCTGTGTTTTTTTTTTTTTTAAATTATTTGTTTGATTTTTTTCATTTTAAAACATGTTAAAAAAGAATTTATAACAAATGTCATTTTCATCACAGGAGTTTTAATTCTACCGAAATTTTCAGAAAATAAAAAAAAACGTAATACTTATAATAATAACACAATAATAAGATCTGCTGTGTTTTCATATTTTTAAAACATATCAAATACGGATAAAAAGCGCTGTGTCTAATTATGGTTTCAGGCTAAATATGTTTGAGCCTTTAAAATGTCTCCTACTTAGGAAGCATAAAATGCGTTTTTCTTTCTGCTCCTTCAACTCTATCTTCTTCCTTCAAGTAAATTATGATGAAAACATAACGAAAATATCGTATTTGATGCGCTGTTATCTGTTTCATGTGCGTGTAGTTGTATATACAGTGTATATACTGGTATATATACATGTATCTAAAATTCACTTGATATTCATGCATTTTATTACAAAGTATTTTTGCCATCAACAGAACTCTAATGTAATAAATAATTTCAAAATGCATGTGCAAACATCTTGCAAATCATGATTGCAAATTTTCTCTAAAATATAATTCTTCGCTCGTATTTTACAGGATTTTAAAGCTTAAAGATATTGAGGTTTGGCAATATCTACGTATATAGTACTTGGAGATCAAGTCTTCCATCAATCTGTTGGGATTCCTTTAGATGCTAACTACACCCTGTTATTAGCAGATATATTTTTGTATTCATATGAGTACAATGTATTCAATAACTTCAATGAAAAAGAAGTCTCTTGCCCTGGCTCTGAATCATCATTTGGATATATGGACGAAGTTTTATCAATCAACAATATTCATTTTTTAACTCCATAATATAGGACATAAGAAAGTTTAACACATCTGTTTCATATTTGGATATTTTACTAAAAATGCATTAATGGTTACCTTACAACAAAGAATAATGCTCAGTGTGATGACTACAAGTTTTTTATCGCTAGCCTCCCTTATTATTGTAGCAATGCGCTTTCTGTACCTGCATATGGAGTTAATCTTTTCCATTTGATTCCTTACAACAGAGCAATTTCAAAAAACGACTCAAGAAATTGACAAATAAGTTCATGGCACAAGGATTAAAACTGCTCCATTTAAATCAACATTCCATATGTTCTTTTGTTGATGCAATGCCCTTGTCAGAAATTACAATTTTTCGCTAAGTAATACTGACTTACGTTTTTCATGCTAAGGTTTGGAAATTATTTACAGACTGGATTTTGTATAGGTATTTTGCTTTCCCCTTTTATGGCAAGGGGCATACGAACTGTGTATTTGAGCGGCTAAAGGGGATACTTATTCTATTATGGCGCCTGAATCTATTTTCGAGAGACCTTTTGCTCTGTTTTTCTGTATGTTTGAGCTTGATCTTTGTTTGCAAATTTCATATTTCTTTACTTTGCTTCTCACGTATATTTAAATATTGCAATACAGAACTTGCATTCGTTCTCGAGTCTCTAGTCTGAGAGGCAGTGGCTTTAAAGTTTTTTTCTTTTAAAACCTGAAAAAGAAAAGTCTAGTTTTAAAAATAAAAGCTACATTTATTTCATTTCTAAAAATAAATTTAAAAATATTCTGAACGTGACCATTAATATCCATTACATACTGAAATATCATAAAAATTCTCAAGTATGCCCCACTTCTTCAAACTTTATCTAAAATTAATGATATTATACAGGGAAAATCTCGAACAGATTCTCAGATGATGTGACTCTGCCCTTTTATCTTATTGAAAATCGATCGACAAAAAATTTTAGAATGAAAAATTATAGCTATCCAGGTTTTTCAAGAAAATTGCATAATTTTTATATTTAGACGAATCCATAGATTCTTCTTTTTACTTTAATAATCTTGTAGCATAGTGTAGAATGCGTTGCCTATCATTACAAAATACCACTTATCGCATCTAATTTAATATCAAGATGATAAACATTGGTATCTAAGGCTAAATTTAAGGAAATTCTATTTCTTAAAATAGTACAAATATCAATTTACTTAATTCTTATAAGGCTGTTTCTTAGAATTTTGAAGAGCATTGGATCACATTCAGACACATAAAATATGAATTGTTGCATGAAAAGATTTTAATTTCAAACTTCAGTTTGAATGAAATTTATTTATCTTTAATATCAGACATATGAAATAAATACATGTATTATGTACGACATAGTTTGAGCCTATAGTAGATTGAACATTGTAAAAAGAGAGACAAATCTAGTTCCCGATCTTGGTTTTGTTGAATACTTTTCTAGTAATTCTAATGTAGAGGTCCATTTGGGGACTTCAACGTCAAATTAATAATAATGATAATTAAGAATTTGAAATAATAAATAAACAAGTTTAATTCGTTATAAGTTATTTTAAGATTAAAACGAAAAAAATAACTAAACTTTTGTGATGGGTAGTTACTGCTTGTTTAGTTACTGGTAGTTCTTTTGACGCAAGAATAAGTTTCATGCATGTTATGCTTATATAATATGTATAAAAGTAGTGAGGAGTTGATCCTTACGTCAAGGATTTGAATCCCACTCCGCGACGTGCATGGAGACCGGTCCTTCGAATGAGACCGTATAATTAGAGGTCCCGTGTCGTTGTAGGTGCTAACTTGAAAGATCTCTCACTGCTCATATGCCTTAAGAACCGGCTACATGTCTAAATTTACAACTCTCTATTGGCAAGTAAAGGGTCTCAATATAAGTAAAAATATCTCATAGAACTGAGAACATATATGCAAATGTTAAACATTTTCTTGAAACAACATCACTCATACAATGTAGTATATACCTTATAAAGATAAGAACACTAATATGACGTTATAATTCTTTATTCAAATATTCACAGATTTCCTCAACAGCTTTTAAACCGTTTTTATAGTTCTGTATAGATAGGAACCCATGATCCATTCCAATGAAATGCCTATGTTCTACTTTTTTCTTCATCGCTTGTAATCGCTTTGTCATATAAAAACCATCGTCACGTAGTGGGTCAAACTCTGCTGTCAGTATATATGTACTTGGTAGTTGACTTACACTCCGATCGTCTGCCATCAAAGGGGCGAAAGAGGGGTTAAGAAACACAGGCTTTATAAAGTTTGCTAAAGTTACGTTTTTGTCTGTATTTGAAGTTGCACTAAAATCACCTACTTGTAGCTTTTGAGGTAAATTTTGAATATCAACATTCTTAGCTTCCTTCGAGTCAAGCCAGTCAGATGTAAGATGCTTTCCAGCTAACAAATCAAAATGATTTACTGTTAAAAATTGGTGCCCAAAAGCGTATCTTAACCAGTATTCCACCATTCTTTCGGAATTGATTATGCTAGGGACGGAGGTTCCTGCATATTTAATATAGGACGGAGTTGAAAACTGAAAGGCCTGAAGCGCAGGGTAAATGAGAACTTGAACTTTTATCTTTGGGTGGTCGGTAAAATTAGGCCCCAACATTCTGAGTGCCACTGCAGCAGCCAAATTACCTCCAGCACTGTCACCTTTAAAATAAGTTACTGTGAGAAAAACAATCTTCCTTCTTCAGAATAAATTCAATATTTTGGACCTTTTCAACAAGAGAAAAACAACCTCGCATGTCTTACGTATGCATCCATTACTACCCCTTCTTTAAAAACATTGGATAGAAAAATAAATGTAGGAGGACTCCTCTTATTCTGATGATGACTTTTTTCACTGACATAAAAGGTAGGATTACAGAAGGGACAATCAACTATTGCGGGGTTCGTTTGCTTCCTTATTTCTTAGTAATAAAAGACTGACAACTTAAGACTACAATGTTCTAGCTCAATTTTGAACAATTTCAGAAAATTTAAGTAAAAGTTGTTCATACCTGATGTTATTATTAAAATAATTTGTTGGAGACCTATCATGCAATAAAAATGGCATCAGTACTGCCCAGTCTTAGATATTTAACCAGATTCAGTTTGAGAATTATTTCCTTTCCTTATTTAGGAATGTTTGCCTTATTCACAACCTTTCTTTATATACATTTTGCCTTATTCAGAAACTAATCTTAATCACACTGGATGAAAAGTCTAGTTTCCGCAAAACTGAAACTATGCGGAAACTAGTAGTAACCTTAAGTTTCTGCAGAGTTTCAGTAGAGTTTCAGCAATGCGGAAACTGTATTTTTCATCCAGTGTCAGAACTAAGCGAGCCAAATGACTGACAAATACAGATCTGAAGAAATTAAGGTTTAAATACTGTAGACGTACTTTTTTCCACGGGGTCATATTTCCGCGGAATCTCAATTTCTGTTTAATCCGCGGGTAGAAAATTACGCGGATTTCTTAGACTGTCACTATATGCCTTACATTTATATTAAGTACGCTTGGACAAATTTCCGCGGAAAATTTGTGACCGCGTACATAGCGTAAATTAATACCACGCGGAAAAAAGTACTTCTACGTACATGTAAGATGATAGGTGCGTGAAAAAGAAAGACAATCACAGCAAGAAAGCATGAATTGGTGTCTTAATAATCCCTATCATATTTTCTTTCCAATGATTTCATAAATAGAAAGCGACCACATTGTGACATCCCATAGTGTAAAGATATTTGGGGTGTTTTTCCGAGGCCCGAGAAGATGCAAATTATCTTCAGAATAGGATACAACAACTACATTAACAATAAACACCTACCCATGACACCAATCCTATTCGGATCGGTTTTATATTTACTAGGGTGACGTAGGAAGTAACTTGTTGCTCTTACACAGTCATCAATGGGAACGGGAAAAGGAAATTCCGGAGCCAGGCGATATCTGTAAGTTAGCATTAAAAAATGGTGACACAATGGTAAAACAATTAAAAGTGTAAGTAAAGCTTTAGGTTAGAGAATTAATGTTGATAAGTCTTTTAATAATACACATTACACTTTCTCGACAATGGAATGATCAATTTTTCAATAAAATCTTATCAAATTCAAATATAATTCTTCTCAAAAACTTCAGAAAGATTATTTGGAAGCAAACATACTCCACAGACACCACCACCATCTGTTTCTTTCTCACGAATCTTCTCATCATTGGGTCATGGGAATCTGAAAAAAAACAACTTTTCATTATCTTTTGAATATGACAGAGACTTAAAATTTGGACACATTGCAATGGCAGATCTAAAAATTTCACAATGGGGTAGGGGAAGGAGTGGGGTTCAAGGATAAATTTTGACAAAAATCTTTAAAACTCGGAAACCAAATATCATAGGGCATTAAAGTGGTACAGATTGTTTTCCTTTGGGTCGACAGACTTCATAAAAAAAACCGAACCTCTCGTGTATTGTTTTTGCAGACCCAAATTAATCTTTTGGAATATTATTGGAAGGCTCCTATTCCTGCGTAACAAAGTTAATGGAATTTTGATTTTTAACATAAATTGGGGGATGTAGCTTTAAAAAACGTCTACAGAAAGCTAGTTTCATGAACTTTAATTTATTTTAACAGGAATTGATTCATATACAGGATATTGTTTGCATGGCGCAGTGGTAGGATCGTTTGTTCTAGAGTTGAGGGTTCAAATTCTACAGTACTGCAGAAGTTTGAGATTGGTTCCTTCAGATACAATGTAAGAGAGTATAAACCGAGGTCCGATTTTGTGTCGCAGTAAGTGCTGGCACGAAAAAAATCAGTAGCTGCTTAACAAATGGTTCTTTGTGCCGAGTATAATAGGTCTAAATTTGCAGCCCTCCACTAGCAAGTGAAATCATTTCAATACGAGTGATTCTCTTTGTGGACAACAAACAACCATATTCTAGAATATGGTTGAGAGTGTCCTTTAAACTGAGAGAAAGATAAAAGGACGAATAAATGGACCAAAATAACAACAATATTTCTTTTCTATATTTGTCTGCATTCGTTCTGCCAGCCTGTTCCAACACTTCATTCTTAGTGTATATGTCGGTAAAATCAACGTTGGACAGATAGTTTTAGATTTAACTATGTAACTATCGACTATTGTACGTAATATAATTAGTGGAAGCAATACCTCTGGATCCAAACACCCATCCACCACCATGGTAGAACACAAGTCCAGGCAGCAGTTGGTCTCTCGGCAGATTTTTGGGGCTATATACTCGTACATTAACTCCATCAAATGTGTCGTCTACAGACTAATAAATAAAAGATATATGAAAAAAAAATTAAAATGTTTCTTTGTGAAAAATACTAAAAGAGCAACCAGCAGAAAGGTTTTATTTTCAGCATGTTTAGTTTAGGAACTTCTTATGAAACAATATAGATGTGAGTTTGTTTATGTAAGTAGAATAAAAAGTGGTCCTTTCAATAAGATGTAAATTAAAATACTTAACTGTAACGGTGTCGTTTGGGTCAATAACTGGTTTGACGGACCTGAGTTTTCTAAAAGTTGAGACACCATCAATTCCAATCATATCCAAAAGAGAAACCTGGAAATGCCAGAATAGACATATACCCCCAAAATTATGGAAAGAACTGTTACAATATCAGACTAGTACTTATTGTAATACTAATTTAAAAGTAGTAATAATGGTACTATTATCAAGATGCACAAACGCAAAAATTCAGATATTCTAGAACACTAAGTTCCAACCACACCGACAGATGGATAAGGAGGACAAATTAAACCCACTTACAAAACCCACAATAAGTTTGAATTTTGCTAGAAACGCCATCTGCTGGTATGGCTCTTCTGCTTCTGCTGGCATGGGTGTATAAAGATAGTAGGCAAGTCCAGCCAGGGCTGCAGACAGAATAACCACCAAGAACTTCAGTTTAGTCATTTTTTCTGTAAGCGAAGAGAGTCTGAAGGTGGACAAGATAAAATACACAATGAGAAAAGGACAGGAACTTTACGGGGGGGATATAAATTGAATGCAAAATTTCAGTACCAACCATTTCATGAAATCAACTTTGCGAGATGCATGTATGATGAACTTTTTTGACTTGACCAATTGCGACACATTATGGAACCGTTGAAGTTATACAGCATGCATTACATTTTGATATTAAAGTTTTTAAAATATTACGATTACGTACAGTAATCAAGCTCAAAGTCCTTTAAAACAGTATATATAGGGAGCAGAACAATACGGACGTCAGAGATGGGGACAGATGCATGGGGAAAAATAATATCCCATTTCGCTCGCCCAAACCAGCCACGGGCCCCTTGATATGATGGTGCAAACGAGAAAATCAGTAGGAAATTAAGTGAGGATTTACAGAATTAACGATTTGTAAAAAATATATTTTTAAAAAAATTAAAATTTTCAGTCCACATTTGACTTAATGCTAGATTGCATAATATATGCTGACAAGGTCATTACATCGACGATAGATTCTACGAAATATGTGTAATTCTTTCTTATTCACTTTTTTGTTTTAATAGCCTGTTTAGTTTTTTAGAAGTCGTATGTTGGTAGATCATACTCTATTTTATTAAAAAGTTTTGATATTATTTCCATATTTCCTTGAACCCATTTTAAAACTTATTGTCACATAGTATCCCTGCTGCTGTTAGTATTTAAATGAAGAGTAAAGAAGCGAGCATGGGTGAACATATTGTATCTTTTTATGTATACTACCTATATCTAATCTAGTATAAAAAGGGGTTATCAAAATTAAGTTTAATTGTTCGGAATGTTAAAAATATTCAAACTGACAAATGATTTTGAAGAATTTTCTCCTTTGAAAGGGAAAAATCGTATATGTCGGATAACCACTTGAGAATTACATATCCCGAAACGAATTCATCAGAAATTAAATGAAACATATGGAGATTACGAACAGTATTCAAAATCAAAAGGTCCATAAACAAATATACAAAATAGAAGCAGACCAAACACGAACCTCCAAAATATCAGAGGTGGGGTCGTTTTAGAAAATATTCATACGTACATGTAGATCATGCTTTTGCGTATCGAATCAACCGAGATATATAAATTCCGTATGCAGGTGATGAAGGTATATTGTTGCATAAGTAAGGGAAGTTAATTGACGATAGAAAAGTTAAAGCCATCACGTTTATCATAGAGCTCGGTTGTTAGATTACCATTAGAGTCTTTTTCAAGTAAAATATCCAAATATGAAATAGATATGTCAGACTCTGTGGTATCTTCAAGTAAATATTGATCGTACAGTCTATCTTTTAAAATAAATTTAACACATTTTCTGGCTCTGTATGGTCATATAAAATAAATTCAATTCAAGGAGTCTTTTTTTCGGGACAGCTTGTATTTCCTATTTTAAAAGCGTTTATTCATTTGTAGTATAATTCGTATAGTTAATGCATGTACATGTACCTTATCTTAGTTTTGTTTATAACCGATTACTCCGTTTTTTATCTCACCTCATACTTCATCATGTTACGGTGGTTTCACGAAAACGAGTACACAAGTTAAAACTTAAATTACAGTTCTACTCTTTCACATATACGTACTTTAAGACGAGTCGTGTGTTTTATTTAACATGTTTCGGCAACATTTTGTACCTTTGTGCCCTTTTGTAGCTTTAGGTAAAAAGAAAAATAAACTAGCTGTATATACATACCCTACCTGTGCACTATCTTTCCTTAACGTCCTATATTTTGCACCTCAGTAATAGAGACTATAGTATACCGGCACATGTCTACCCCTATATTACTAATAATTGTTTATTTTGTTTATATTCAAGTAAATCGGACAACTATAATCGAAGCTTAACAAAATAAGAAAGATTACTATGATACTATACATTGTAACAGGAAACATCTTATAGTAACTTAAAAATTGCCTTACTAAAACTTATATACTTGTTTTACTTATTAAAAATATTTAAGAAAAAATTAATTAATTTAACAGAAGTTTACAGGAATGTCACGTTTTCTTCATTTTCATGATGTATTTAAAAGGTCATTAAATATATTCTTTTCGCTTTAAAGAATAAATTTACAATTTTTAATGAATGTAGTATATGGAGATAACGAATAGTATTCAAGCTCAAAAGTCCATTAAACAATACAAGATAGGAGCAGAGCAAACAAAGACTTCATAAACATTAGAGGTGGAATTAGGTGCCATGGAGGAGAGAATATTCCCTGCCGACCGGTCACACCCGTCGTATGCTTTTTATCATAATCGGGAAATAACGGAAAATAACTGCTTAACAATTAGTATGAAAAACGTAAGTCAGTTTTTGACTCAGTAAATTGTAATTGCTGACAAGGTCTTTGTATCAACCATAGACCGTATGAAATGATGACTGTAAACAGACTGAATAATTCATACAAAATTTATTCACATCTTGTCGGAAGCTCCTTTATCAAAAAGAAAAAAAAAACAGGCAAGCGTAGCGGCCCATAAACATGATGTTTGAAATAATTTTGGATCAAGCAAATATTAATTTTACTACCAGATCACATTTACTATTACTTGTCCCACGAGAGCAGATGACAAAATAACTATGGGAAAATTAATCTGGTATAGATATGTTTCCATTGCTAGTAACTCGGCAGGCATTTTTATTTATCAATGTCGCGATCTATCCGCTAATGGAAGTTAGTCTTTCGGAACATCATCAACAACTTTTTGCATCACCAGTTGCATTCATTATCTGCTAAAAAGTATCATTTTACATGCAGGCACCTGTCAAATTGACGAAAAACTAATACAAATAAGCATAAAAAAACGTGACCCTTTTATCAATTAGGATCGTGCATCAATTGAATTTTATATCAATTAGTGTCAAATGACTACATACAATGTAATGTTATATAGATTATCAGATGATTTTAGGGAAAGTTATATTACAAAATATTGGCCAGAGTAGTATAAAAATGACAAACAATGAGAAATTGATATAAACTTTAAGTTATGATTTACACTATAATGAATATGTACTATAAAGTTTTATACACTGAAGCCAGAGAAACGGAAGGATATGTTTGAAATTATTGTAGTCTCCATTTAAAGTCTTTTGGAAATGTCCAACTTTACCCCTTACTTCCTTTACTTTTCAAATGAAATACAGGGTTTACTTTGCCTGGCTTCAAAACATCCCCTTTACAAAAAGAGTTGTATTAATTCCTTAGAGTATAGTAAAGCTTGATGTCGTTATGTTGTGAATGAACAAAAAACTGATATGTTAAGTAATATTTCTTCTTCCAAATCTGAAAAATAAAGTACAATTTCTATTTAAATTGCTTTAAGGTTCTTTCATAATACATTAAACAGATCATATGTTTACAATGTATATTACCATTATGAGAGTTGTAATATATGGGGAAAATTTAAAAAATCGGGACTTGGTTCACATGTTTAAGTTGTCTTAAATTCATACGTAGGTTTTTACCCCATTATTATATGTTCTTTAAATCTATCGATAATTTATGCTCTATATAAATAGTAATGAAAATGTGAACTTCGTCATCCCCGTGCTTATTCTTCAGCTTTTAGGTGGTACTAAGCTGGTTATATATTGAAACGTTTACAAAAGACTAGTTTACTCATTATCATCTAAATAACATTCTTGTAAGATTCAGGAGATCCAGTGAGTACTTACAATGAGTACTTACACGTAGCATTTTTTAAAAGTACAATTTAATTACCATTAGGGTAAGAATTTAGACATAGGCGCTTGGTTTCATGATGGTGTATTTTGTGAATTTTTAAAGATGTATAATAATAATAATAATAATGATAATAATAATGCTTTATTTAGAGAAGGTTACCCGATTAGTACAAGGTACTATTCTTCCCCGGGGCCCTCTGATTTCAAACAACATATTACATAATATGATACAATCAAAGATAAAACATGTAGAGTTCGTCAATGCATGAATAATTGAATGTAATGTACAGCTAAATGAGATGTATAGATTCAAAATAAAGAAATCAATATTAATTGTTCAGGAGACTTTGTCTTAAACAATAGTAATAATCAAACATCTTGTACAAAGGACATATTCAAACATTTATTTATAGACGTTGGCTAATTATAATTTTTTCTACATTTCGTCTAAAAATAGGTAAGGTTGGTGATAATTTTACATGTAATGGTAGGTTATTCCATAAATTTACACCTGAATATTGAATAGAATTTGTAAATAAAATTGTTCGATGTCTTGGTAAACGAAGATTATAATTTAATTCTGAACGTAAGGAATAGGAATCATGGCTATGAAAAACAAAAAGGTCCTGGAGATATTCAGGGCTCATACCATAAAAAGTTTTGTGCAATAAAATACACTTATGTAGTGTGACTAATTCAAAAACATTTAGCCATCCCAGTTTTTCAAACAATGGTTTTGATGGTTCGTCGGGTGCTGCATCAAGAATAATTCTAGCAGCCCGTTTCTGAAGTTTATGAATTCTTTCAATGCTAGTTTTAGATGCATTGCCCCAAATTGTAAGACAATAGTTTATTGAAGGCAAAATATATGCATTATAATAAAGTTTTCTGGTATTTAATGGAAGAAATTTCTTAATTTTACGGAGTGTAAATAACTTGTATGTTAAGGATTTACAAACTGAATCTACATGATAAGTATAATGAAGATTTTGATCTATATGGACACCTAAGAGTTTTTCAACGTTAACATTTTCAAGCTTTTCTCCAGAAATTTCTGTATGAAGTTCTGGAATATCTAACTTTGACCTCTTTTGTTGTGTATACATAAGCATAGAATTTGATTTGTTCGTGTTCAGAATCATTTGGTTCTGTAAACACCAGTTTTCAATTTCGCATAAATCATAATTCAAAAATGTTTCAATATCATGTACATTGTTATCAGATAAATGCAGAGTTGCATCA